TGTGTTCTCCATTCTTTAAGCACCGGTTCGAGCACCGTTTAAGCACCGGCACCGTTTCAAAAGTACCGATTTGGCACCGGTATCGGATAAAACCTAAACGATACCCATCCCTAATCTTGAGATATTAAAGAATGCCAAAAGTCAAATTTCGCACATCTAGTTCAAATGTAACAGTGTTGTTGCTTCATTGGTACATATTATTGGGTGTCAGCACAGACACTAATAAGACCAAGACAACACAAAAGCCTTCATCACTTTGGAGGTGTGTGCCAAGTTTCTCACTTTTAAACTTTTTTGTCCCCTTAAATACTTCCTGTTTCTTGGTGAGTTGCCATGCCAACAGGATGTTTTCATAAAAAGCATCAGGGTCAAAAGTTCAGACCATGTTTAAGATGAATCCAGTCAACCTGTGAGGAGTAGTAGTACACAGAAGCTTATAGTCTTGGTATATATTGTGACTGTTGTCACAAGTTGGACCTTATTATTCATCAGATGTTTGGCAAGATTGAACAATGTATGTGTGAATGACAGAAAATGACAGCTTTATGGTCACTGATTGAACATGCCCCACAATGAAAAGTCAACAGCTTTACATTTTGCACTAGCGTCACCAAAGTCTGTAGCTGAGACAGACCAAATATGAAGTTTTCCTTTTGATCCCTAGAAGAAATCTGAAGAAGTACGCTGTCTGAAAATCACAATAAAGTCTTTTTAAAATCAAAATGGCAGAGGTCCTTTTGAGTTTGGTTATTGTCTTGGGGTTTGGGGTGTTACACATTTGTGCCAGATGGTGGAACAGTGGAGCTATGGTGCCATTTTTACCCTCCCTGTTTGAAACCCATCAAGATATGCAGATTTTCATCTATTTGAAAGCATATTTTGGTCCTCAAAATAAAAAACAGAGCAGTATCTGCTCTGGTTGGTTGTTGGTACATGGGACTTAATAATTACATTTAAATAATTCAAAAGTTATTTTTAGAAGATAAATTGTGTGTGTTTATTAGTATGTCATGAATATTTCTGATGACTTGATCCTTTTTCTTCACTTTTACCCTGCATACAGGACAACTGGACAGAAAACAGGACAAAGCACTTTCCTTGCTGCGTAGGTACTGTTCATTGTGTATATCAGTGCTTTCACCACTAAAAATATTTACAGGATGAATGGTAAAATGTTCTGTAGAGTTGAGGGCTCCTGTAGAGTTGCTGATAAAATTACACAGCTTTAAGTTTTTGCTTGCTTATATGAATCATTATTGGTAGTTATACTGACACACGAGGCTCTGGACAGTGTGCATAATAAGTAATGCCATAGGTGAACCATGAGGCATTACTTATTCAGGACCTTAAAAGGTGCCAGAGTTATATTAGGGTATCTAATGGTCGAGCCATGAATACTCTTCATATACAACAGTAAGATGTAATTTTACGAGCTAGATATTGTTCTGTAAGCAATGTTTCAGTTGATGATTATTTGTAGTTAAATATTTGCATTTGCATGTTTAATGTAATTCTAATTCTTGCATTTGTATAATGTCTCTTTGCTCCCATTTGCAGTCACTTAGAGGCAAGGGAGCAAATGGCTCAGTGATCTCTGTCGTTTCACTGCATAATTTTCCCATTCCCACTGATGGCCTTGGATGGCATCCATTGTAACAGGGCCTCTGATTAGTGATTAAAATGTTTACTAGTACATGGGGAAATGGAGCTAGGCAATAGTCCACCTCCATAGCTTAAGCACGCAGCTAGCTTCACACAGACAGATTGCTCAGTGGCTGATGTCTTTTTAACACCATTTAGTTGATAAAATGATGGAAATCCAGGGAGGGTGGGTCACTGATGCATCATCCATCCATCCACCCATGTATACACGCATACATATAATGAATATGTCATTAATTGTTGAATTTACAATAGCTCAACAATGTGGGATTACAGTGTTGTGTTGTGTTGTTTGACCAGAAAATAAAACAACAGTGATAACAGCCCCCCATTGAAAACCTTTACAGAGTCTGACCCTGGTGTGTGTGGTGCAGGATGGGGGTGAGCGCGACACACTGTAGCCACTAGTCTCACAGAATGAATGAATTAATAAAAGATGTTTCAGAAAATACATTTAAAAAGATGACTGACAAACATTGTAAAAGATAAAAAAGATTTCCTCTTTATTTAAATTAAGATGGGATTATGTCCCAAAAAATGTTCATGTGAAAATGTGCTAAAGATAAATACAACTGAAGCAGAATTACATAAACTGAGTAAAACATGCAATGAATTCTATCCATGTCTGACTGAATGTTTCAATGTGAATTCTCTGTGTTAAGAATAACAAAGTGAATGTAATGAAATGATTTTAAAGTTTAACCTTTGTGTTTGTTAACTGTTGTAAGTCAGATAAGGTGTGGGTGGGTGGTCACTGGATGTCAGCAACATGATTGGACGGCCAAAATGTGTCCCCCACCTCAGCTCCAGCTGAGCTCTTCATACCAACCGACTGACAGAATCAGGGCTATTAGTACTTTTCAGTCAGAGCCGAAACCAAGAAAAACAGTTCCCCCCCCCTTCACTCTTTATCCAATGTTTTAAGTAACAAGAACCTTTTGTTCTGTTTGGGATCACTGTCAAGCTGAAAAATGAAGTTATTCCCAATCAGGTGCTTTCCAAACCACATTGGACAATAGATAATAATAATAATAATAATGGATTGGATTTATATAGCGCTTTTCTAGGCACCCAAAGCGCTTTACAATGCCACTATTCATTCACTCTCACACACTGGATTCTAGATCCAATGACTTAGAAAACTTTTCTGTAAGATCACCAACAACAATGGCTAAAATGCAACCATGCCAAAGCCTCCACTGTGTTTTACAGATGGCTCACTCACTGTTACTTACCTTACTACTGACTCCCTCCATTTGAACCGGGCCTCTTCTCCCAGTTTGCTTCTTTGTTCATGCTAGTGTGAAGACCGTTTGTGCTGACTCCTTTGCAAAGGTTTCTTTTAATAAATCTCAGAAAAAACAGTTTGGCTTCAACAATCAATTTTATTTTTTCACAACACCCTCAGGTCCTGTGTCAGGTCTTTGCTGGATTTCCCCCCCATTCATTAGGAACATGACTTTCACCAATCATCTGCCATAGTGTTTTAGGCCTGCCGCATTTTTTGTCCTCAGTTTGTTAAGTTAACTCAAACTTTTTGGGATATCTTGCACACCATGCAAAGATGCGCCGTGTTTTTAGCTAACAACTCTTTAGTTTATGCCTGTCAAACAGTTCTGACATTTTCTTGTAGATTCAACTAAAGAAATGGGAACAGTGTTTTTGTGACAGACTGCTGATAACAAAGTGCCTAAATACACAATTTCAAATGGGTTCTTTGTCAAGTTGTCTGTTATATGCAGACACAACCCTGATTCCTGTCATGAGTCAGGTGCCTTTTTTGCTTGATTCACATTTAGGTCTGTTAGTAGCGTAAGAAACAAACAAACAAATCCTCTGAAAATGGTCAGACACAAGAACTGGAATGGAAAGGAGCGAAAGTTTTATCAGAAGTCATTCAAAACTTTCCATGCTATCGTGTTTACAGACAAAATTACACATGCGCACTAATGCTACCATAAACATGAGCCTCATCACATCTCGTAAACTTTCTACAAGCACTACTTTGTGCAAATCAACTCAGGAGCTTCAGATCAGAGGATTGATAGAGCCCATCTATAATGTTTGTATAGTAATTATGGAAATCACAAAATATTAGTTAGAAATCAGATCATGAGAGAAAGTCTATAACCTAGTTACATGGATAACAGCACACATATTCATTATGCTTGAAAGCATTTGATTACACCTAGTGCCAAAAAAACAAAACTTACAAAGAATACAATCATAGAATTTAAACATAGTGATTAAATGAATTTACTAAAATTATAATTTAGCTGTTATTATTATAAAACACTCGCTGTGTTGCAGATCTATAAAGCTGAGTTCCTCTTTGACTGGAAGCGTCTTATGTGGAAAGGTGAAAGGTCATAGGAGGGCACTTCTCCCAGGCTGAGTTCACACAGAAGCTTGCCAATGATTGGTCCAAACTTGAAGCCATGACCTGGAAAAATAAAGAAGCCGTCATAGTGAGCAAAGCACAAACATAGGTCATCAAGCTGTGTCAGATCAATTGATGTCTTCATGTGAACCAAAGCCAGGCACCTTGCAGTTAGAATAAAAATAGCCTGTATTTCTTGGGCTTTGTCTGAATAAGGCGCTGGGTTTGAGATTCACATGAGTGAACATATAAAAGAAAAGCAAAGCTGTTGCAACTCCTGTCACTGAGAATATACTCACTGTAGTGAACAACACCAAATACTAAATTAGGGGAGAGTTGTCCTTTCTCGGCGTAATGGCTTCATGTGCCTTAGCTCAGGAGTAAGATGAGAGAAATACTATTTTTAAAATGAGGCGTCACGATTCATTGTTTTTAGGGTCTGAGAAAGAAATTGTGAATATCAACGGGGCTTGAAGAATGCAGCACAGTGCCATCTGACAAAGGTCTCAAGGCTCCTGTGGATTCTGTCTGGCTTTGAAGTCATAAAAAGCTGCCTTTGACAGTTTGGACCTGTGAATTTTCATCTTGCCAGAGAAGGAGAATGGAAAACCTAGGCCAAGCCTACAGGATGATATTGTAGCCATGGCAACCGTTCTCAGTACTTGCTTGAAAGTACTTATGTCACGCATTAATGATGAATGCATGAAGTGAAGGAGAGAACAGAAGGAAACACATGTTTCTGTGTTACGATTAAGGCATGTGAACTTCCTCAAAATATGAACTTTGTGAGTGGAAGGATGGAGACTGAGCACATCCAGTACACTTAATAATTAACAATTAGTAGCATTAGTTATGATCACTAGTTATGATTGCAATTGGAAAATTGTATTTTCTCTGAAAACATGTTATCAATTTTACTGAAAGAATAAAAAACAAACAAATGAGGCCACTACACAGTAATTCAGCCCACTATTTGGGTCTGTATTTAAGTAATTTAATCATCGGATGGCTCCCCTTGTAACTTGGTAGCAACAAGCAGGACCACTGATGAATCCCACTAGCCTTGGTGATCTAATAGATTTTTATTCAGTGCTACTCTGAGGCTAACATTTTTGGAGTTTCCTCTAGAAAACTATCAGGTTAATACATTTTTGACTTAATATTGGAAGGTCATTAATTAGCATCTACTTTATGGTCAAAGTCTGGCATGGATACTAACTATTGGGTTGCCAAATGCCACTAGAAAGGCTTTAGTTTTTAATGACACTTGCTGAACTCTGTTCATAGACAGTAATTGCTGGAAGTGTTCCTGAGCCCATCTAGTGAGTTCCATTCCAGTGAGTTTCACAATCGTACATTGAGGAACATTTTTCTGAAATTGTTTGTACAATTTATAGATGCAGCTTTTGCAGGTTGGGAAATCTGTGACCATCTCTACCTCTGAGAAACTCAGCCTCTGTGTCCACCTATTACAGGAACATGCTTGGTGAGTTCTTTAAAACAAACTATTCTTTCACAAATGTTTACAAAGGCAGAATGTATAGCTATGTTTTTTTTTGTTTTGTTTTTTCTTTACACCTGTTGCAATGAGTCTGAAACACCCAGATTCAAAGATGAAGTGTGGCCTGATACTTCTGTCCATATAGTAGAAGAGTGGAGTGTAGAGAGAGCATAAACAGATAGGACAAAATACAAACTGGAAGGCAAACAATGTTCATTCTCACCAATAAATCTGTCTTTGATTTAAGGCACATAATTAAATTAAATTAATTATGGACTTCCACAAGATTTTGGATACAGTATACATGCTTTCCTTAGGCATTTGAAAGCATACCATACATTTTCATTGCATTGATACTCAACTTTATCCATGCAGCCAGATGACACACATTAATTAGTTATACTGCAGGAATGGCTTAAAGCCAAAGATCTAGATGACTTCTAATTTCCTACTTGTACATTCAAATAAACAAGATGTTTTGTTCTTGGCCCTAAAAATTGTAGCATCATGATGTCTGGTTGGCATTAACACTGACAAAAGCTGGACTCATTTTTGACCACGATAGGTCATTCCACGTGCATGTTACACAAACATGTATGACTGCCTTTTGCATTTGTGCAGTATCTCTAAAATGAGAAACATCCTACGTCAAAAATCATGCTGAAAAACTAGGATAAGCATTTACTACTTATCCCCATCTTATCTTAATAAACTCAGAGTACCCGATCACCACAAAAGACTACTAGCTTATTTGCGGTCCCTAGTCCACAGCTTTCAGGCCCCACTTCTGTGGAACCAGTTCTCAGCTTGTTTTCTATGAGACAGACACCCACGTTTTAACTTCAGGCAGAAAACGTTATGTTTTGAGAAAGCGTATAGTTACGTTACAGTAGGTGCTGGGGGCTTCCCATGATGCACTGAGTGTTTCTTGTTCACTCACCTAAAGCGGCTTGAGGTGACTGCTGTTATGATTTGGTGCTATGTAAATAAAACTGAATGAAACTCAAATACACACATGAAGACTTGCAGCAAAATATCCCTGGTGAAAAATGGAAGCAGTGCATGCTGGTGCACCTCTGCAGCACTTGATGCACAGGCTAAGTACAGACCTACCATTTCCTCCATGGCTGCACATGTGCATTTGGTGTGAAGCTCTACATTTTTAGCTTCATTACTCATACACCTCTAAGAATAAGAAAAAAAAAACAACCCCATTAATACGTAATCTATATTTGCAACATTTTCTATTGCAGGCCTGTTAGCCCAGTGAGCGCATACTTGTCTGAGAGCAAAGCACTGGGAGCAGGATATTAATTACAGTTATAATTAGGTAAAGGACACGACTGCATGAAGACATGGAGAGGTGCCAGGAGACACTATAGATAACTGCAGGAGAGGAGAGGTGGAGTCGAGCAGGCCGCATGGGAGCCTCTGGCATGTTAATTAGAGAAGAACACAAATGTAAGAATAACGGTGGTTAAGAATCCTGATGTCTCCTGTGAGACTGAGGATACAACTATTAAGTAACTGATGGGTCCTGGAAAATCTGTCACTGGGCCCTAGAAATTCCCACTATAAATGCAGTTTACCAATCAATCAGTAAAGCTGCAATAATTTTTATACTGACCAAAAACAAATAACACTTCTGATAACTGATTCAACATTTGAGAACAAATAAAACTGGAAAGTTTTCTGCAGTAATAAAATTAAGATTTGAATGTTTGGACTTTCTGAATATTTTGATCAAATTATTGCTAATTACTCAGTGCTGTGTATTAACTAATTCAGACTTGACACAAAATGTACACTATTATTACACTTGTCAATAAACAATATTTCAGACTAGACCATCTTCCGCTGTTGCTGTCAAAATGTCATAAAGAATAGCAGCTTGTCAGGACTTTAGTGCTGGACTTCTTATTACTTTCTCCAAAAGGCTCCCCGAAAAACCTTCAGAGATTAGAACCAGATATGAAAAAAAGGGACATTTTTATCACATTAACTTCCTGTTAATTGAGAATTGAGTGCACAAATCCTGATGATCAGGAATGGCTGGATGATATGAGATCATGATCAGTCAACATGAATATCACAGTATAAATCACGTCCTTATTTCTGTCAAACTTAAAGGTCCCTTCTTATTCGTAAGTGCAGATGTGAAAATAAAAGGTTAATTTTGGTTAAAATTTTTATTTATTATCTGTCAGAAACTAAACTGGCCACTTTTGCCACAGATCTGTATTTATGGGAACAATGGCAACCTCATACTGTGCATATATCTCATATTGTGCATATGCACAATATAGGGCAAATGTGTTACCTAGATGTGAGTACAGATTTTAATATCTCTGGAAAACTGCATCTCCATTCTTGGAAGCCCTCAGACTGTAGATAATAAGAGGGTCTAAAGTTTTTTTTAAGTGCATTTAAAGTCTTTAGACCATAGTAAGAAATATAGATTCTTTTCTTTCCTTTTGGTTGCAAAAAAAACAAACAATTATATTGATCTATATGAATTATTAGTTAATCCTAAAAAATATGACGTTCCTTTTTTGTTAAATAACATTAATTAAACTGTCTTACTTACATTTACTAAAAAGCAAACATCTGGCTCCTCTTTCTTTCTGCAACTACTCTTCATTTCTTTTTTCCTCTTTAGGCTGCTGCTCTGACAGAGGTGAAACCCTTGATTCCCCGAGTTCCGAGTAACACTGCTGTTCTTCCTGGAACAAGCAATGCTGATTAATTTAGCTGCTGCTCCTGCTGTTTTGGAGTTGGCACTCATCTGCACACATCTGGTGTACACAGTGCCAGCACACTTCTTGCTGTTCTTTGTCTTGAGCTGTTGACATTTTCATTTTAACAACGCCGCTGACTCTGTCGACTGAATCAAAACAGACACTGTTTGTTTTGTTTGACTGCTGTCACGGTGTTTTGCCTTTAATAAGTGATTGTGAGGATAATGCATACAGTAAAGGTGTCAACAAGCCTTGTCAGCTAGTTTCATGATGCTCAGATGAGCCTGTCATTTTGGCTCATCTTTAGCTGATAATCCAAAAATGGAATAGGGAAAAAATATTTAAAAAAAACGAACTATTATTCCAATGTACTTTTTCAAAAACCATTTGTACCAATTTATTTATTTAAAAAAAAGAAAAGAAAAGAAAAATGTAAAAAAAGCAAAAAAGAAAAAAAAAGAAAAAAAAGAAACAGGCTGTGTATGTAACCAAGGTGTGCACAAAGGAGGTTTGAGGAGATTAATGCTGGCGGAAACTCGTTGATCTTGTAAAGTCTTCAGTAAATTTATCGTCATTTTAAAACTCAGTGCTACTGTTTCTTTGGTAGTACAGCTACACATTTCAGCTCTTAAAATGTAGGTTTGATCATTTAAACATGATATCTAAGTGCATCTAGAGACATTAATGAATTATATGTGGAAATCAGTTCATGTGAATATTACTGACTAACTCTTTACAAACCATTAATGCACATACGTCTGATATGATACTAAAATAAATTTAAACCAACGCTGAGATTTTTCCAAAAATATTTTTGACATTGTCTTGATAAAAATTGTTACTTGTGTGAAAACATTTTCAGGTCGTATAATCTCACGCCATACTGAGGCAGACTGTGGGCGATACAAGCCTTATTTTATATTTCACATTACAGTACAAACACGATTCAAACGTGACGGCAGTGTTTTAAGATGTGAGAGATTTGCGACGTTTAGCACAAATCTTGTGTAGTTAGTGTGTAGTGTAGTCAATAGTTTTGTTGTGTGTGTCAGAACAATGAGGCGACTGCTGAATGTTACAGGAGTTACAGGAGTGATACATCTCCTGTTTGTCAGGCCTGCAGGTATCAGGCTGTTGTTCTCCTTTATCTCATAGTGGACAGAAATTATTTTTTGGAGCGGCACAAATAATTTGTGTGGCATCAGATTTGATGCAGAACAGCTGCAATATTACTAATATTACTACAGGACCAAGGTAGTTCAGTAGGGTGATTAAATCACACAGTGGTACACAGTAGTACTTATCTGCTATAATATGATAATTAAATAAAATAAATTTTACAAACTGTAAATAAAGCTAATGCCAGCATTCAATTTCCCCTTTTTATAAAATGAATCTCTTTGCTCAATGAAATATTGTTAAAGGGACTTTTTCCAAAATGATTTGTTGAGGAAAAACAAACTCAGTTGAAGCTCATATTCATTGCGTTAAATCATTATCACGAGCATCTAAATGGAACTGCTGCAAGTTTATCAAATACAACACAGACTCAGAAACTAGTTCAGGAAAATGTAATTTTGTTTTGATTTTTTGTGATTTTGCTTGATTTGATTTTTCTGACTTTTGTGTCAAGGACCCAAGGACTTTGTTGACCATCAGGGATGATTTTGAAGAATTAGAAGGGATTAATGCAGAGTGTCCACAGCTGCAGGGTTTCCTGAGTGGAGAGGATACCTGTCTAGTGTTCATGACTGCTTAAAATCCCCTTTCCCACAGAGTCCATGTGCCTGAGGCATCACCACACAATGCACCTTACCTTGGTTCTTCGTTTTCAATATTAACTATTAACACAGATCTGGTTACGCTGGAAATGTCTCAAAAGGAAACGTCTACATTAAGAAATTAACACCTGCATTGACAGCAAAAAAATATTACCATTCCTATCTATACTTTGGTTTTTTGTGTGGTTTGTGTTAGAGTTTGTATTGTTGATTGTCATTTATGCTTAGAAATATTTACTTATATATGCTTAGAGTTTTGTAATTAGTTGTAGATTGGTAGAGGTTTTGATCCTTGATAGTCTGCAAACTTTGTGTGTATTAGACAGCACTTTGGGAGCATGAGAGTTCGTACCTTGTTTTATTGTTTTATGGTAAGATTAACGTAGTTGCGTCTGTTCTAGTCTAAGTGCTTTGTTTAGATGAACTGCAGGACTTCCTCACCGTGTTATCTAGGATGAACCATCTAGGGTGAGGGGGAGGCTACCCTCTTCCTGACCAAGGATGTTTGACCCTTTGATCAGCAGTCCACACACACACAGGCAAGGTACTCTTTGTGTGTATGTAGACGTCATATGTTAATGAACTTATGCATATTCATGTAACCTCAATAAAAGAACAGTGGTACGGGAGAACGGACGAGAGCAACTGGGGTCAAGCGAAGGAACGGTGCCTGTCCGGTTCTCTCCCGTGCACGAGAAACATGAAGAAGCTTGCCTACTTGTGTCTTGCTTTGCAGTGTAATTATATTGCCTTCAACGTTCCAGCGGATGGGTTCAAGCTACAAACCTATCAGTTTGAATAACTGTAATGGTCTGAAGCAGCTCCTGTCTGAAATTCTCAGAGCTAGAGTACTAGCTGTTGCAACAGCTACTAGAATTAGCTGTTGCTAGGCTACAGCTACTACTACAAGTATGCTAAATGAAAAGAAACCTCCAAATATAAACTGACATAGCTATTTCATTAAAAAAGGAATTAACAGTTGTTTTGAATGAATAGAAGTCAGCTATTTATCCTGACAAATATGGCTAGAGTTATATGTGCCACACATGTTTTCTTTCATTTTTTTGGAGCCATATTGTGCTGTACCTGAAAATCCTGCTCCAATCACGATGTTGCTGTATGCAGGGTGGTAGTCCAGCACAAAATGATGGTCAGGCGTTAGCTGCAAAAACAATAAAATATGAAGAGTTAGTAAATTTTAAAAAACAACAACAAAAAACCCAACAAAACAAGAATAAAAAAAATCAGAAAGTGCAGGTTGTTGTTTCAAGACGGTGCAGCTGTACCACTTTAGAACTTAAATCCTCTAGGCCCCCTGCCTGCTTGGGTGGAAGAATGGTGTGCATGGTACTTCTATATAAGCCTTTATACTGCACACAGAAAATGACAACGATCAGACTCTCCTGTAAGCACTGGAACTGAACCCTAGAGTTTTCACCAAGTGTATCAAAGCAGCCCTGAATTCCTTGTGGGCAGCAGGACTCAGAGTGTTAACATACTTGGATAAATTTCTAATATGTATTTCTAACAGAGGGGATCCACTACATTTTTCTATCCTCTTCTTCCATTAACATCCAACTTATTAATGTTAATTTGTTAATTCAACATAACATCATAAGCGTGTTACAATAGGTGTAGGCTGCTGGGGGATTCCCATGATGCATTGAGTATTTCTTCTTCAGTCACCTTTCTCACTCACTATGTATTAACAGACCTCTCTGCATTGAATCATATCTGTTATTAACCTCTGTCTGTCTTTATCCTGTCTTCCTTCTCTCACCCCAACCGGTCGCAGCAGATGGCCCCGCCCCTCCCTGAGCCTGGTTCTGTCGGAGGTTTCTTCCTGTTAAAAGGGAGTTTTTCCTTCCCACTGTCGCCAAAGTGCTTGCTCATAGGGGATCATATGATTGTTGGGTTTTCTCTGATGTATTATTGTAGGATCTACCGAACAATATAAAGCACCTTGAGGCAACCTTTATTGTGATTTGGTGCTGTATAAATAAAACAGATTTGAACACACTCAATCTTTACACATCTGCTCAGCAGATCAAGTACATATGCACTCAGCACCAGCACATCCACATCTACATATTGCATCCCTATGGAAGATCCTATCAAACGTTCTTTTTCCCCCCTCACCTGACTGATGTATGTATTTTTTTTCCTCATTTATTTCAGCGTCACACGCAGTGTGCAACATTAGCTGCACACACACAATTATGGGCACACCAAGGCTTGTCACTCTCCAGAGAGAAGAGGTTAAAGATAAGATATTTACCACTTTAAAAACACTACAGGCAGATGTTGTTTTATTATAAGAGACTGATAGACCTGCTGCAGCTACAGATGAACTTAAAACACCCGAGTTTCCTGATGCGTTCTCAGCCTGCTATAACTCTAGGCAAAGGGGAGTAGCAATTTTAATACATAAAAATGTTAATTTTACAGTACTCAACACAGTTATAAAGCCATTAAATTATCTATGCTTAACAAAAAGTTATGTATTGTAAGTATATATGGCCCAAGTGTTGATGACCCCTCATTCTTCCATGCTTTTTTCACTGCACTCTTTGAACACCTAGATTGCTCACTTGGTCTTGGGGGCGATCCCAACTTTGGACTAAAGGAAGAAATGGACAGGCTCAATAGAGCAGGAACTCCTACTCTATTGAGCCTTACTCCTGGAGCTGATTTGCTCTTCACAGTCCACCAGCTGTGGGACAGATGTGGTTGGGTATCTGTGAGCTAGCCTTTGTTCTTTTCAAAAGAAACAAGGGCACCAAAGGTGCTGTGGAAGTGACCTCACCCCTTACGTCTCAGATGTAGTGGTAGTAGGGCTTCCCATTATGAGACTCCTCATTTTGTATTCAGAGAACCAGGGTTACCCTGGTAACCAAACTTTGAGTAAATTAAATAAGTGTTATTTTCAAAAAAGCAGCAAGATTTAATGCACATTCATTCAAGAGTGCTGCAGCCTCTTCGTTCTGCTTCTTGTGGCCTTGTGAGCTGTTCCTGTCAAAGTCTTTATGAAAAATGTTTCAAAAACCTGTTTAACTCGATAAAAAAGCCCAGTGTATATGCATAGTGACCTCTGACAGAAGACCAAATTTGAGCACAACAGAAGAGACTAGTTATCTTCTTAAGAATGACTTGTTAAGTGAGAGAAGAGTTGTCAGGATTTTCAGGGATATTAGACAAGGTGGCCAAAATTTTATTGTCCTATTGCTTCAGTATGTGATCATGTGTTGGTGAGCAGCTGCAAAACCGCTTTAAAAACAAAATACATAAACCTAGTTCTGCACTGCATAAGATGAACCTTAGAACAGCATTAAAACCTGACAAGAACCTAAGTACAGACAGAAACTCACACACTTCACATTTTTTATTATAAACTTCATTTATTCTGATAAATCCCCTTGATACTGGATAGAATATATAATCTATCCAGAATGCAGAATAGAATAGAATATATTATCCATTATCGAGAAAAGTCTGCATTTTTCATTTTAGCATTATAAATGATATTTTCATTGTTGGCGACAGGCAGGTTACCTTCAGTTTGCTTTTTGCTTAAATACCAACAGAATTTTTTAAGTTTAAACTAGTTTTTGACAGATTACTAAAACGTTGGTGTTTTCTTGTTTTTATGACTGGTGGTCTAACACATTTGTTAATCCCTGTCTGTGGTGAAGTACAGCAGACAGAAGAAGACCTTTTTAAACCTTATTTTGGGACACAGCTCTGTTTACTAGATTTGACTGGTGAGTCTATAAATGCAATACACAATTTACGCAGTAAATTTTCACTATCGTTTTTTTTTCTCTGCACTTTCACAGATGAAGATGACAACAAAAAACACAATGTTAACACTGTACCGTATACAAGCAGCTCTCCACTATAGCAGGTTCAGGGATGAGTCCAGGAAAGCAGCGGGCGATGTAATGCTGGAGAATCTCAATATCAGACCTGTCTTTCTGCAAATCTCTCTGGTCTGGGTCTGTCTTGCTGCCCATATGGTAGCACACCTGTAATGACATCACTGGTATTAGTTCTATATGAAAGTACCAAAAACTCAGCACATTTTCAGTGATATGAGGAGCAGAAGGACAGCTGCAGTATTGTGAATAGAATAGCTTTGCATTCTGTTATTATGTCATAGTAACAATTTTGCATCTGAGCATTTTGTGTTATGTGACCGTGGGACTAATTGTGGCTTTGGTGTTTATATCAATTGAATGACAACAGAAACACAGCTTGAATGGCACTATGCACAAGTTCACTGCAAACCTGGTACTTTTCAAAGGTGCAGGTGCACACAAGAAGCTCTTTGTTCACCATTTTGCAGTTTAGCAGGCTGTCTCAGATTGTTTTTGCAGCACCGATTGGGGTTATTCAGAACTCAATAAAATGCTTTATATTAAATGTAATAAGGCACGAGCATGTTCCGCTCATTTCAGTAGCTACTGTCAGTTAGGATGACTCTACAAAAACTTCCAAAGCATCTTTTTTTGTGCTGTTTTTATAAGCCAGTTTTGACACATACAGTCTTACTCGGAGACTAAAGGCAAAGTGAGAACCCTGAGGGATTAAAAGAACTGCTGCTTTGACTTTTTTCTTTAGGTTTTCTGCTTTAGAAAACTGCTTGGCAGGTCCCTGCTGTAAAAACAAACAAACTACAGATGAGAAAATGCCACCGTCTTCTGCTTCATTTTGGCATTCTTTCAAACTGTTAAATGGTCCAAGCATTGCTAGCTCTGGTGACTGTGTCTTCGAGTGAATAATGCAACGTGGCATCACCATCTGTCCTCCCGTTCTCTGCTGTGCATGTGGTCTGCTATTAGACTGTGAGCTCCTGCTGGCTTGCCATAATGCCCAAAATAGAGATGTGTCATCGGATGACATCAACTCCAGCACAAACCTTACAACTAATATGATGTCGAGGGAGAACAAATCACATTTTAAAGTCCACTTTGCCACAGCATTTCTGTTTTTAAAGAAAAGCATTAACAGTTGTGTATAACAAAACATAAAACACTTAAAGTTATCTATTAATTGCCTTAATTAAGTTCTTTAAAACAATAAAATCTAAAACCTTTTTTTCCAGCTTTGATAAATAATGGTCAAATGTTAGCAAGACTTGCTTGTGAATTTGGATATACCCTCCAAACATGCATGGATTCATAAACTTTTAAAGGAAAACAGAAAACGTCTGAAGAGCAGATAAAATGTGGAAAAAAGAAGTGAACAGTGTTCGGCAACAATGTTGAAGGGGGATATCTCCTAGAAATGTACACTTGTAACATTAATTACAGTACCAATTAATTTTGTCAGAAGGACAATTATATTATTATATGCAGTTCATATGTATTTGTTTAAAAGAGAACTCCAAAAGTCATAACCCTACAAATACAGAGTATTAGGGCCACAATACTGATCACCTGAGGCGGGGTGGTGGTACAAAAACCGTATCTGGTCAGAAGGAAAAACAACACAAACTTGGAAGAGTTGGCCAGATTTGTACAAGATGAAATGGCTGGCAATGGATAGATGCAAGGCTGGTTACAGCTTTGTGCAGTAAATGCTGGATCACAAGACATGATAAGACAGTTGATCAGTTTCTTTCACTAAGATACCACACCCTTCTCCTCTGCCCAAACTACACATTATTGTGGATGTTGGGATTCTGAAACACTCCATCTACCATTTGATTCACCACCAACAGCATCTATACCCTGTGGGTCCTGTGCTTTCATTTGGAGCACTGCCTAGTTATGTTGCTTCATCAGAGTCTTATTGCCAAAGGGCAACAAGACCAAAGGACAATAAGCACAGATACTCTATTCCATAAAGGTAGTGACCCTTGTAACTTAAATAATCGCTGCCCCATCTCAAAATTATCTTGCCTAGCAAATCTTAGAGTCCCTCTTAGTGTCAGTTTCACACATATAGTTCATTTACTCCGATCTAAATCAGTTGATGATTTTGCTGCTTTTCCCTGTGATTTGACTTTTTTTTCACACAGAGTAATAACCTAAGTGAACTCCAAGCACACCGTAATGTCTCACCACAAACCACGTGACAATGTTCAGTTCAATTATTAGCAAGATGTGTCTGGGTGGCAGCAATAAAACTAAATACAGCAAGGAAGTGCTGTGTTCCGAACTACTGGAGAACATGGACAATTAGAGACGTTTGCACATCTATACTGGTGTGACAAAGTGTTTGCCCTCTTACTGAGTTACTGTTGGATCCTTGTTTACAATTAAATCAAAATTCATATCAACAAGATATTAGATATTAGACAAAGCTAACAGGTAAACACAAAACACAGTTTCTACATAGCCCTGTGTGAAAAAGGGATTTCCCCCTAAACCTAATAACTGTTTGGGCCCTTAACAGCAACAACTGCTACTTTTGATACATTTTAGAACTCTCTTATCACACAAACTTTAAAACTTTGTTAAAACCAAATACACGATACTTACAAGGTCACCTAAAAATATCCAGCCAACAGTTCATATTCAAACATTCAAATTCATGAAATTTAAAATGTTAAACACTCAGGACTGTGAATGGATGCTAGACTCCCTTTTAAAAACCATGCGGACCACCTCTCAAGAAAAGGCTTAAAGGCTGCATATGTCAGCAAGTATGCCACACTCACCCATTCACACAAGCACTGTTTTTATGCTTTGAAGTGCTTTCTAACTACCATTCACACACATTCATACTCTGATGGATGAATCGGAGAGCAACTTGGGGATATTTAGCATGCAGACAACCTTCCGATCAGCAGATGACCTGTTCTACCTCCTGAGCTACAGCCACCCCAGTATGTGTTTCTTATCACAAAACACTTTTTGCACTTTTGTTGGACAAATAGATCTTGATCTCAATGAGACTATTTAAAGGATGCTAAAAACAATAATGATGACCCTAAATTAACTGCTTATAGCAGTTATGTTTATTATTATTTAATTAAAAAGTCATATAAAGTCCTTTCAAATAAAGGGTAACCAGTTATCCAACATGATTTCTACAATATAAAAGGATAAATCATCTGACAGAACTGAATATAATTTTAGTAATATGCCGTTTGGCATTGTTGTTCACTAGTTAGTACAGTCATCTCACAGCAGGGTGGTTTTGAGTTTGAATTCTGTATGGGGGTGCACTGAAATTCAAAGCACAGGGAACTATAGACTGAGTGGCACACAAGAAAATGAATAACATGGAGATAAGGAAGTGAAAAAAGAGACTAGAGTTCAAATGCCCAAGAATGTAGGCATATGAGTGAATAAAGAGCTCAATGAACTTACAGATAAGATTAAATAACTGCTTGTTGGTAATTTTATTACTCATATTCTTTTTAAAATATTAGTTATTTTTACTTTATGATATTGTTCAATAAAAAGCAGAGAGGACACCAGTGAAGACGTGCAAGTAAAAGGTCAGATTTGAACTGGACCGCTGCATTTGGCCCTGTTTTTGCCTGTTCATGTCAGGGGCTGTGACCCAGCATTTTGAGTTTATTTTTGTGATTTCTTATATTATATTGAAAGGATATCAAGTTCCAGTATTATTATTAGCTGGCCTTGAGTTTTAGGTCTAGTTTAGGTTCTTCTATGTCTCTTTAGTTATGAGTCCTTTCCTGTCCTCTGTATGGTCTGTCTTGTCCTCAGTGCTTTACTTTCAGTCATGCCCGTGTGCTTGTCTACCCGTGTCCTATGTTCTTATTGTCTAGCTGGTGTTGTCATGTCTACGTCTCTCTATGTTTCCTGTTTTATTTTGAAAAGCCTGGTGTTTCCATGTTTGATGTGTTTAGTTTTACTTCCCCTGTGGCCTCATTATGTTTATTCTAGTCAGCTGTTTCCCCATATGTTCCTACTTCCCCTACACACAAAGACTGTTTTCCTTCAGTCTTCGTCAGGTCGTCTGTGTTTCCTCCCACCACGTCACGTCAAGTTCCATGTACTTCATGTTTCATGTTCTTGTTCATCATAGTTTCTCGCACGTTCCTGGTCAGAATACAGGGAGTGCAGAATTATTAGGCAAATGAGTATTTTGTCCACATCATCCTCTTCATGCATGTTGTCTTACTCCAAGCTGTATATGCTCGAAAGCCTACTACCAATTAAGCATATTAGGTGATGTGCATCTCTGTAATGAGAAGGGGTGTGGTCTAATGACATCAACACCCTATATCAGGTGTGCATAATTATTAGGCAACGTCCTTTCCTTTGGCAAAATGGGTCAAAAGAAGGACTTGACAGGCTCAGAAAAGTCAAAAATAGTGAGATATCTTGCAGAGGGATGCAGCAGTCTCAAAATTGCAAAGCTTCTGAAGCGTGATCATCGAACAATCAAGCGTTTCATTCAAAATAGTCAACAGGGTCGCAAGAAGCGTGTGGAAAAACCAAGGCGCAAAATAACTGCCCATGAACTGAGAAAAGTCAAGCGTGCAGCTGCCAAGATGCCACTTGCCACCAGTTTGGCCATATTTCAGAGCTGCAACATCACTGGAGTGCCCAAAAGCACAAGGTGTGCAATACTCAGAGACATGGCCACCTTGTTCACCTGATCTGAACCCCATTGAGAACCTGTGGTCCATCATCAAATGTGAGATTTACAAGGAGGGAAAACAGTACACCTCTCTGAACAGTGTCTGGGAGGCTGTGGTTGCTGCTGCACGCAATGTTGATGGTGAACAGATCAAAACACTGACAGAATCCATGGATGGCAGGCTTTTGAGTGTCCTTGCAAAGAAAGGTGGCTATATTGGTCGCTGATTTGTTTTTGTTTTGTTTTTGAATGTCAGAAATGTATATTTGTGAATGTGGAGATGTTATATTGGTTTCACTGGTAAAAATAAATAATTGAAATGGGTATATATTTGTTTTTTGTTAAGTTGCCTAATAATTATGCACAGTAATAGTCACCTGCACACACAGATATCCCCCTAAAATAGCTAAAACTAAAAACAAACTAAAAACTACTTCCAAAAACATTCAGCTTTGATATTAATGAGTTTTTTGGGTTCATTGAGAACATGGTTGTTGTTCAATAATAAAATTATTCCTCAAAAATACAACTTGCCTAATAATTCTGCACTCCCTATAATGTTGATAATGTTTGTTATCACAGTTACCACAGTTCAGTCATAGTAATCATAGTTTAATTTTTCCCAGTTTAGATTTTAGTTTAGTTTTCGCCCTGCTTGCCTTTGCTTTATTTTTTTATTCATTGTTTTCCAGCCATAATAAATGGCTCGCTTTTTGTTTAAATCCAGTGTTTAAACTCGTGTCCGCTCTTGGGTCCTCCTTTCCACTCCCACAGTTCAGCCACTGAACTTAAATAACACCCCTGTTATTCATATCCATAAGCTATACTCTGGTGTCGTTGCCTTCATTTGATTAAAAAAAAATGTATCTGGTTGAGTACACAGCACAGATTTATATACCGATATTGAAGTGCTAGAAGCATTTACTGAGACAACAAAACCAAATGAGGAACAACAAAATCACATGTTGAAATCAAATTTTGCATTGATCTTTTATAAAGTCTACTTCCTGCTCACAGTTTGTATGTTAGAAATAGGTATGCAGTGGTTTCTGTGTAAAACTTCACTTAAAGGCCCAGTTACATGACGTACCTTCATCAGCCCTGGGTACTCATTAGACGGAAGTCCGTAGATATGCACTTTGGACTCCAAGCATTCAGTTTGTACGAAGCAGGGAAAGCGCTGCTTCATGCTATAGGACCCAGGAACCTTCTCCTTCCAGTAGCACACGTTGATCTTTACTACCTGCAGTAACATAAAGTCATTAGCAACACAGTCAAGGCCCTCAAGACTGACTGTATATTTATACAGCATTGACCAGCTTGACCAAAAAAATAAATAAATTAATGCAAAATGCCATGCCAGTCTTGGTACTTGTTGAATGCAGGGTTTCCACACATATGACTGAATTGAATTTATTATAGTTTAAACATATTGTATAATGTATAGTCTAAATTTTAAATCTGAATATTACACATTTGAAACAAAATTAGCACGTTGATATCAGCTTGCAAACACCATAGTAGCTAAAACTTAAAATGCATAACACCTCCTACTGCAACCTACTCAGATTTATTTCCTCTGAAACAAAAGTGCTATTACAAAAGTAGCTCTGCAGTGGTGAGGCGAGAATTAGGATTTAATGAAACGTACACATGCTTGTACAAATGACGTCCATCAATGGGTAGCAATAATAAGGACACATTTTTCAGGAACTTTTAGTGTAATGAACTAATAGGCCGTACACTCATTCCCCGGGACAATAAAAATTCTGACACAAGTGCTCTGGTGAGCCAATGTGCTCAGAGCTTGTGCTTTTCCGCCAGTTCACTCAAGCATGACATCCAACACCTTTTCACCCCACCACCACCCCGCCTGAATAATGCAATTCCAATATCACCTCCACTTCTCCACTCTAACAGCTGTCTGCTTGTTTTCTCATCACCTTCTCTTTTCAGGCTGTGTGGCATATTGCAAAATGGAAAAGACTGATTTGCTGAATCAGGTCTCTTGAGCTGTTTAAATGTGGAAGAGAAATTATTTTGTTTCTGTGGCATCTTCAGATGAATATAAAAGGGTAGGAAGGACAGTATCCCCGTGATAAAAGGGGTGGGGGAGCTGAACTGGATTGGATCTCATGCACTGCATGAAAAAAGTCACAAGTTAATATTCTAAATTAATAATATTAGTCATAAGGTAATACATATGGTGTGTTTGTCACAGGCATCACTAATTACATGCATCTACAGTCAGGAAATAATTTTTCCTCCCAGGATTTTAATCTTCTAGCATCTTTCATTTTGGAGAACAAACCTCTCAGTCCATCAGAACTACAGGAGCTATGGTGCTTTCTTCTCTAGAGGATGTACTTGTGGTTTAGTTCACATCATCTGTGATATGCCCACCAAGGAATTTAACCGAGTCCACAGATTTGCTGTTTATGCAAAGATTGCTCATGTAAAAAATATTATTTGCAAAATTTAATTACAATCTTTTTTGTTTTGCCCACAATAGAATTATTTCTAATAAACCTGGCCACAGCTCATCAACTGAACCACCACTGCTGCTGGTGACTCATGCCCTTATTTACATTTGGATTTAGCAGGTTTTGCAGTTCATTGCAAAACTGACTCAGCCAAGCTAAAAACGAGCACACAGAAGCAGTTAAAATGATTTGGCAAAAAACACAGCGCCTATAAAGCACCACTGAACCAAGGACACACTGAATTTTGTTAGCTAATTTTATGTTTCTGAACATCATTTTACAGCTTACATTAAATGACACGTGAACGGTTATGACTCTGTCACACTAGAGTAAAAATAGAATGGCAAGCACCTAAAGGAAGTTATCTGGTGGTTGTATTGAATTTTGTCACTTTCAATAGCCCATTGCAAATAGCTATTGCAACCAAACGTTCATTTAGAGATTGTGAGTGAAACACCCTCAGCCTCTGGCTGACCAGAGGTCGCAAAGCAATTACACATGTCACCTGGTGGGAGGCAATTTCTTTCTAAATAACTGCAGTCCGACTTGGACTGATTGCAACCACTGACAAATTGACAAATGTCTGCAAATAATTGCTGTCTAATTTGAAAAGCCAGACAAATTCTGCAACAGGGGAAATAAATCCATCCATCCATCCGTCTGTCGATAGAGCCTAATCAGAGACACCCACACTGCCCGCTTAAGCTTATCCAGCCTAATACAGAAACCTGGTTACAGCAGGATGATTATGTTAGGGGTATTTACTCATATTTAAACTGAGTCATACGAACTATCAGAGTCCTCGAAGCACAGGCTGAGGAGTGGCACCAAACTCCAGCTTATAAATCAACCAAAGGCCTTGTCCACCCTAACTGGAAAATTTTATTTGTTGTTATCTATTATCCGCCCGGCCCTCACTCAGAATTTCTGATTTCTCTGACTTTTTATCTGATTTACTGCTCAACTCAGATAAAATAATTATTGTGGGTAATTTTAACATCCATGTAGATACCAAAAACCTGACTGATTATTTCTAATAACATTTAAATTAACAATAATGAATTTCACAGTAGTGGGCAATACATTTCATCACAGTAGATGTCTTCCTGAAGTGCTGTAACTAAGTTTAACCTCCTCAGACCCGAACTCTTCCACGACATGAAATTTTAGTTTCTCTTTCATATTTGGGCATATTGGGACCCAATGAATGCACAAACAAAAAAAACAAACAAAACAAAACAAAAAAAACAAAAAACACAAGATTTTTTTTTTTTTACCCGATTTCTGTTTCTAAGAAAAATGAGAGCCACATATGAGGCTATTCATTTTAAATTTTCATAAAACAAAGGCAGTATAATGTCCTCATGAGTGGATATCAGGCCCTTGTAGAGCAAAATTTAGTATTTTGATCTAGACAACCCAAAATGTGATGTCCACATATGTGGACGCCAGGTCCTAGGAGGTTAAGGATATAATTCTGCCACTTATCTTCTTCAGTGCCATGTGCCAACACATGAATAGAGCAGACAGAGCAGCTATCAGAACTCTACTCCAACAGAGGTCGATTAGCTTGTTAACAGTATTACATCTTCACTGCGTACAGCTCTGAACACTGTGACTTCTCTGAAAATGAAAGCTTCAAATCAGAAGTACTTGATTCCCTGGTATAACTCAAATGTGTACCAAGGCACATCACTGATTGAAGAAAATAAGAACAATGCTAGGTTTCTCTTCAGCACTGTAGCCAGGCTGACAAAAAGTAGAGCTCTGTTGAGCCAACCATTCCCTTCACTAGAAAAGACTTCATCAGTTACTTCACAAATAAAACTGTAACCAAAAGAGAAAAACTTACTCATAACCATCTCACAAATGTAATATTATGTAGAGCTACGTTCAATACCATTTATATTTATCTCCAATTGATCTTAGGTAATTATAGACTAATCTCAAACCTTTCTCTTATCTCAAAAATTCTTGAAAGAGTAGTTGTAAAACCAATAGCTGATCCGATTCCTGCAGAGGAATGGTTTATTTGAAGAGTTTCAGTCAGGTTTCAGAACTTGTCACAGCATATAAACAGCAACAGTAAAGGTTACAAATAAGCGCCTTTGACAGTGGACTCCTCTCTTTGCTTGTCCTGTACATCTTAGTGCAGGGTTTGATACCATTGACCATATTTTATTAAAGCAATTAGAGAATGCTGTGGTATTGCGCTGCGGTGGTGTGAATCATATTTCTCTAATAGACTCCATTCATATAAATGGAGAGTCCTCTTTACACACTAAGGTTAATTATGGAGTTCCACAGGGTTTCTTGGTAGGGCCAATTCTGTTTATATTATAGATGCTTCCCCAAGACAATATCATTAGAAGGCATGGCATACATTTTCAATTTTAATGGAGATCACACCCATCTTCATGTGTGTCATCTGCAGTCCAACGACATAACTCCTGGTTTCACTGGGACCACAAACCCCTCCTCCACAGTAAAGTGGTGAGTCACAGAAGGGATCTGGTTGTATTCTGGTTATAGTCCAATAGAAAATCAAGGGTGCCAATGTCATTTTTCAGTTATTAAATTGCCATCCCACAGCAACTACATTATTTCTAAAAGAATTATGAATTTCTGTTTCAAGTCTGTAACATGAAACAGAAATCTATGTCATAGAATTTCTATTTACATTAAGAGTCCAAAATTTCTATTTATTGTGACTTAAATTAATTAAAAATCACAGTTAATTGCCATTTAATGGGGTCAAGTTGTCAAAATTCCATCTTATTGCTTTTTGATGCACCAAAGTTGCACCAAAGACAGCAGCTCACTTGGCCCCATTCTTTGAAATAACAGTTTCAAAAGCAACAAGGACACTAATAACTTTCTTATATTCACCCTGAAAATACTGCAACGCATGTACAGCCATATAAACATTGCACATTGTATACTGAACATTTTAATACCTCTAGTGGCAACTGTAAACCAGTGTTGGCCAACAGTTTATTAGCCCAGGGTCCAGCGGTGATCACCAAACTCTTAGCATGATAAACACCCACAGAGGTTGACACTCTTACAACAGGGCCAGGCTTGATGTCCGTTACCTTCTCGTTGTCTCTTATAACTCCACCTAATTTCTGAAATTGCCCCTGTAAAAGAAGAGAGCAGCAAAACATTTGAAATTCCTGTTATAGCTGTTAAATGTACAGTAATAGCTACTGGAACGAATGCAAGAAATGTATATGGAACTTTGTAAAGTGGATGATGATTAATGGACAATGGGTTCAAGTACATTTAATTTATTATGAAAAGACAAAACAAAAACAGATTCCTCATACTGACTGTCTTTGAGCATGCATTTAAAAATACATTTAAAGTCCTAAAATATTTTGGAATGCCTGGACTTGTTTTTAGTAATGATGATATCATTTTTACTTTTTTATTTAAAATATTTCATTTGTTAAACTGGAATTTTTAGACTTGATTCTGTCAAATTTCAGAACAAACCAAAACATCCGCATTCACACACTCAACACACGGCACAAGTCCGTATCATGTTATCAGTGGTATACCTGTACGGTTTTGAGTGTGCGGTCAGCAAATAGAACTCCAGCAGTTGTATCCACCAGTGCTCCGTCTCCCTTAGCCAAGTTGACATTGGGAATGTGCTGACTAAAGATGTCATGGGTCAGGACAACCATGGGAACCTTGTTTGTTTGAAGGGTGTCCTTAATATTTTGGTAATTTTCACTCTTCTCTGGCCCCATAACCAGGAGCCCTGTTTGTCTGAAAGTGGAGATTAGGGGAAATTTAAGGCGGCATCTTGAAAATAAATCTTCAAAAAAAGAAATTAATAAACTAGTAATTGACTTTAATAGAGTGCAATGTTAACTTTGGCATTAAAAAGAAAAGAAAAGAAAGTATCATAAAGAGCTAGCTACAAACTGCACTGCTAAAAAAATGATAAAAAAAAACCCCACTTTAAGTATAGCATCAAGTCAATTAAACTTCTGGGATATTGATCTGGTCAGTTAAATAACAGACAGGATTGTTAATCGGTTTCAGCTGCTTTGGCACACTAGAGGAGTTTTGGAGGTGGACAACTGAGTCAAAGGAGCTTGCAAAGAAAAGCGTCTGGACTTCTTTAAGTTACTTGAAGACGTTTCACCTCTCATCCGAGAAGCTTCTTCAGTTCTAAGGTCAAATGGTGGAGAGTCCCAGATATAAACCTAGTGGGAGTAACCCCCCACAGAGGGACAAAAGGACCCCCTGATGATCCTCTAATCGCCTGAGCCAAGGTGTGAAACTGGGTGTGGGTCCCACTCAGCCAGAGTTTCGTACAACTGACAATTTTTTCTTCCTCATCTTTTCTGACCTTTTTTTTTCACTAATTTTGAATTTGGCTAGGATCAGTGTCGTAACTGGCAACATAAAGTGAAACCTGGACCCGGCGTGTAGTTAGTGAAGGATATCTTGACTAGGCCCTAGAAGGTGCTTCACCCATCAGTAGGTCTGGTGTCTGCTCCTTTATGCAAGGAGGAATGGGATGAGCGATGGCAGAGCCCTACAAAATGACCTTCAACAAACCAGGAATGTGAATATTCTGAGGGTTATGAGAGCTCTACGTCCTTGAATGGGCCCTGTGTTCACTGCCTGCCACTGTGGAGCTCAATTGGCATTTTCCATAAATTAAAAAACCCAAGTACTCATATTCCACCCTTCATACAGCTCTAGGTTACTTGCCAAGTGGTGAGGACCCTTTACGGTCACACAGTGACTTTGAAGTGGTGGGGGTCAGACACGGGTGGAGCCACACAGGTATATTACCTTCCTAAAAGCATAGAGAGAGGCTGAAACCACATTTCTAGTTAAGGAAAAAATTCAACCATCCCCGCCTCCCTCAATTATGATAACTATCTCACAATAGAGAGCAGATATTGCTGCATTGCAACAGCGCTGAGGTGTTCTCTCCCCTGATCGTTCACACCACTTTCATGGAGATACATTTTGAAACGTCCCTAGTTGTGACAGTGCATTCACAGCCTTATTGGTTACCTGAGCATAAAAGACAAATTGTTCATACAGAATTTGGCTGAAAATGGAAGTAATAGAAGAGTCATACAGTGCGTAGTGCAGCTCCATAGTTCTAGTGTTGTAGAAAGATGGTTCTATATGTTTCTGTGTCAACTACTGCAAGGTGAACAAGGTATCACACCTTCGATGCTTGTTTGATGCTGCGGGGGAACACAGCGGGTCTGTGTGCCGCGCTGGAATGGTAGCGCTGTGCAGGGTGGCTGCTGTGCTCGCTTCGGATTACTCCTCACCCCCCACCCAATCCTATGGCTTGTCATGTCTTTCACAAAGTTGTGCTGTGGACATTTATGTGCTTTTTGTGCAGAGGAGTTTTTTTGTTTCCTGTTCTCATGCTGTCCTACCATGGAAGCACAGCACGAGTAGAGGTCTCTTTTTTTCCTCTTGTACTTTCCCATTGTAGTGTATATTTCAGTGTTTTTCTGTAACGCTACCGATCTCCGACTTGTATCCCCATGTAATGTCTGTGTTGTGTGTGTAATGTCGGAGGGGGGGTCCCATTTCACTCCAGGGCAACCTGCATGTGGCGAATAAAGCTTTGATTGATTGATTGATTGTATCACGGTTTCACTTCCGTTCAGCTTGTTTGCAGCCCCCGCCACTTTTCAGTGCCTCATGGACCGGGTGCTGCATCCACACACTGCATATGCTGCCATCTACGTCATCATCCACAGCAACACCACAGCGGAGCATGTGCAGCAGGTGGATGCCACCCTGGAGTCCCTGTGGCGGGCGGAGCTCACGGTCAACCTGAAGATGTGTGCGGTTGGATGGAGGGAAGTACAGTAGCTGGGCTACCACTTGGGAGGTGGGCAGGTGTGTCCACAGGTGGAAAAAACAGCAGCCATCGCATCTATGGCTCCACTGCAGGGGAGGGGTGGTACAGGGCAGTACAGCTGTATCGCATCCAGTATTCACACTCTGGAAAGTTGCTCTGCAGTGTCAACAGTGTGAAGGCAAAACTCAATATTCAGTTTATATAAATACAACCACGAAAAGTGTTACATGCCGTGACTACGGTTACATAGATACTGCACAGTTTAACAAGAGATGGACTCAGCCAGTAAACTCAAGTTCACTAAAAATCGAAACGTTAAGGACCTTACCCGCAGAATATTAAGTTATCATATACCATCAGTTCTTTGATGCATTAATTACAGATGGTGAACAAAACTATGAAACCAATTAATAAATGGACCCATTAATATCACCTGTGACATCATAGTGGCTGGACATCATTACTAGTGGTAATACCCCAGCTCCAGTGTGTTAAGTTATTGAGTCCTATAGTGAGAGGGTCTGATTCAGTGATCTGTCTGAGAGATAACTGACCCACCAGCGCCAGCACTGCTTTCACAGAGCCATTCCGAAATCTGTCAGCAGCCATAAGTCACTTGCAACCACAGCTTAGCCATTCATCACACAATTTAATGTGTGTGGTTGTGTGCTTGCAAATGTGTGACAGAGAAAGCAAAAAAAATCATGTAGACTCATAAATGTGATACGTCATTTGACCTGACCTGACATAACAGGTGACGCGTGGTACAGCTTCAGCTGATGGATGTGCTAACACACTGTCATATACATGACAGGGAAAGGAAGATAGTCCAGAGGGTAGATTTTAGCTTAGCTCTTGCTCTTTTTTAATGGCTTATATTCTAGAAGCAGCTGCTCAAACCAGCCTGGCTTGAACATTTCTCATTGTGATGCAGTCATTTTTTTAACAGCTCAAGGGCACAGGTGGCCTTTACTTGCAGACCCATCAGTCATAAGCTGTAGACCAGGAAATTCACAGTATTTCTAAGGAACATAATGTGAGTGTGTTCTGGTACAACAAACTATTATTTTGAGACACAAATAATGAAACAATGTGCTATCAAAATTACTAGTAATGAGACAAAATGGGACAGTTTAAAGGAATATGATCAGGAAAGTGAAAGTGCTGATGGGGGTTACACACAGATTTATGCCACTGTCATGTTTATAAACAAACTAATTCCTCCTCACTCTGTGAATGAAATGAGGTTCCGAAAGTTTAAAAAGAAAAGAAAAAAGAAAAAGACAAAAAGGCACCGTTCCACATGTAACCAGGTGCTAAGAAACTGCTTACAACTCAGTATTGCACCTTAATAGCCGTTCTTTTCCCCATTCCTGTCCATTAACCATAGAGCACAACTTCTCTTTGTGCATTAAAACTCGCGCTTCTGTCTGGTTTGCTGTATGGTTTACGCCACTTGATTTACGGCACCTTGTCGCTCTCCGACTTTCAAAATAAAAGCATCCACTCCAACAATATAATAGTCACTCATAACTTTACAAACTACTTTACAAAATATTAATGAGGTTATTTACACCACATTCAAAAGCATAGGAGCTGTCAACGGCCAATTCAGTGATGCTGGAGGTAATGAGAAAGTCATGCATTAATAGCTCCTGTAGATTGAGTTGTTGCTCTTGTGCGTACATAACACCTTGAACGTAACAAATCTCCTTGTTCTGGGTTTTATCTCTGTTCTTCTGCTGACTCCTTACCTGTACAATTTCACTCCTGCCTCCCTCTCCAGCTGAGCCCACAGTTCATAGCACTCCTCCATCATGTGGGTGTAGAAGTTCTGCTCGTAGGCCTTGCGGATGATGCGGGTCTGGCCATGGGAACTCCCTCGGCTGTGGGGCAGTACAAACTGGAAAATATAAGCATGAAAACAACTGGTTAAATTACTTCTGCATTGAAGTAAGAAAATGCTCAAAAGTACATAAAACTGCAGTCTCGGCCGCAGGCCGCAAATATCATTATGACTCATTTACTGTACATTCTTGTATAAACTAAAGACAACAAGACCAGCTGAGGAAAACCAGACCCAGTCAGAAAGTATATAGAAGGGGAAGTCTGAATACCTTTGAAATTAACCCTTAGCTGTCTTCAGTTCTTTGTTACATTGTACTGTTTGAGTGTGTTCCTCACGTGTTACCTGTTTAGGACTACTTTTGACTACATCTGGACTTGCTGCCTTATGTAACTAAAGCTTATTTTTTCATTTATTGAAATCTGTCTTGAAGTCTGCATTTTGGGTCCAAATTCTCGACAATCATCACAGAATGACACAACCGGTAACATGGACACAGTCAATGGTGAGGGACTGACAGCGACGCACTCCAGACAACGAATCCCTACATTATGGGACTCACTTGGCTATTGGAGGACTTCAACGATACTGATCCTCTGCAGCAACTACCATTTCCCTGCCCAATCCTCTGGTGATAAGAGTGGCCGGTCTCTGCTTCACACCAGCCTCTCTACTCTCCACTCACTCTCTACCCTCTTCAACTGTCTATTCTCCTCCACCACTGCCACCTGTATCCCAATCCAGGGGAAAATGGTCTCTGCCTAGGCCGCCTTAACAACGCCAGACTACTCGATTGGGGTTTGTCAGAGGCACTTGCTGCTTCAGCACTCCAGTCCTCCTTTTCCTGGAGAAAGCACAGATCCCACTGCTGCTCCTCACCCGGGGCAGCACCGCCTAAAACCCACCTCTGTAAAGCCAGGACACTTTACTTTTTTAATTCATTGAGGAAAACAGGCACAACCCTAGGTTTCTTTTGAGAATTCTAGCCAGGCTGACAAAGAGTCAGAGCTCTGTTGAACCAAATATTTCTTTAACTGTCCCACAGATCTAATAACTGCTGATATTAGATAGGTCTCTACTATCAATCTTTCTAAGTTAACTTCAATAATTTCTTCCTCTAAACCATCAATGTGCCTTTTAGACCCCATTACTGCCAAGACTGCCCAAAGTCCACTATGAATTAATTCTTCAAGTTTAAAGAGGATGATCTGTCTTTATTGACAGGCTTCATACCACAGGCTTTTAAGGCAGTGGCAAATAAACCATTATTCATAAAGCCATTGTTTGATCCTTAGCTTATTACAGGCTAATTTCTAACCTTCCCTTTACCTCAAAAACAGTTTACTGATCATTTGTAAAGTAATGTTTTTTTAAGAGTTTCAATCAAGATTCAGAAAAAAACAGCACTAGTGAAAGTTATGAATGATATTTTTTTGTGGACAGTGGACTCATCTCTGTGCTTGTCCTGCTAGACCTTAATGCATTATTCAGTACCACTGATCACAATATTTCACTGCAGATATGACACTGCTGTGAAATAGGAACTTCGCTGCAGTGGTTTTGTGGGGAGTCTTCCTTGTACACAAAAGTAGCCACAAAGTTCCAAAGAGTTATGTGGTAGGAAAAAGTACATTTTACACATACTTCCTTTAGGCAATATTATTACAAAACACTGCATAAATTTTAATTGACATCATTGCTATAAAAAAATTCTCTTTTTTTCCCCTTAGGACCAGAAAGACAGAGCACATTTCTCCCATATTAACTTCTACTCATTGCCTCCCTGTTCAATTCAGAACTGAATTTAAAATCCTTCTTCTTACATACAGACTCTTAAATAATCAGACCGTGTCATATTTTAATGACCTTATAGTAACTTTTTATCCCAACAGAGCACTTTGATCTCAGACTGCAGGCTTACTGGTGATTCCAAGAGTTTTCAAAAGTAGAATGGGAGGCAGAGTCGTCAGTTTTAAGGCCTGTCTACTCAGTTCAATTCAATTTGATAAAATATTATTTATGTATTCAAATCACAACAATTTTTGCCTAAGGCATGTTTCCTCTACTGTGGAATTTATAGAAGTAATAACCAGCAGCTTGATAAAAATTATAAAGTCAGAGTTAAAATACAATACAGTTTGCATGATTAACTCCTTCAACACAACCAGTGTGTACGCTTCTAAATGGCTCCCCTCCTCAGGGTTTGGGAGCTTCTTTTTTTTTCTTTAAATTGGCTAAACCCTCCAGGTGAGCTTCCTCCTTTAAGACGTCTGGAAACGACTCCGAAAAGGGAATAAAATGAACCAGGAATGAAGAATAATGTTTTCAAACTATGAAATGCATAATGTTCACCCAACCTGAGAAACTCTGATACCGTCACTACATCAGAGTTCAAACGTCTAGGCTAGGAAGACCAGGACCACCACCACCTCAGGGACTGTGGTAATGTTCTGTAATAACATTACTTTTAATACTTGTTTTTCTTTACTCATGTATTTATTTTTAATTTCCATACCCCTCTTGGCTCTACCTTCTAATAATACTAATATGAGACTTAAGTAGATGCACAGACACAAATATTTCATTTCAAATACAAGGACTCTACTTGTTTTGCTCGCCTTTGTCTGTGCTGTATGTGACTTATCTGCTTATCGTTTCACGTATCTGTATATTGTTTTGTTTAAGGAAAATAAGAAGTACACTAAACTTTTAGTGTAGTTAAACTTAGTAGTTTTACTTTTGATGGTCTTTTCCTAACTACTCTTTCATACTTTCTTCTTTCGTGACATTTTCTATGCATTCTATGAACTTGTAGTCAATTATAAGTAAACTGTAATGGAGTACTGTTACAGTGGAACGTAGAGAAACCTGATTAAAATGCAATGGGTCAAGATAGACTCTTGACTCAAAATCGTTTCATGACGCACCTGCTCCAACAGCAGAGTCTTCTTGTTCTTTTTTGCCAGCTGATAGGCCGTAAAGGAGCCCTGGACGCCTGCCCCGATCACTATGCAATCAAAATCTCCGCTGGTCGACATGTTTAACTCACACACAGAGCTCACAGATCGAGGTCACGCGTTTTTAAAAGTGCTCCACAGATCCGCCTACTACCGCCAGGGGAAGGACGAACAAAAGCCTCCAGGAACTTTGCCCTGAGTGTTGGCGGTCAGGAGCCTGGATTTCCGCCACGCCGAGCAGGAACCGAACGCTTATGCTGGACCGAGCTGAACTCTTCGCGGTTATGATCAGAAGTGCGTTGTGTTGTTGTGTGGATCTACGTCAGGTCCGTTTGACAATAAGGCACACCGCATAGCAGGAGTGCCTGAAAATCTTTCTGTAGGGAAAATATTGCCACCATATACTGACAAGGAGCCAACTCTGCAGCTCAGCTGTAAATGTTCAAACTTCTTTTGGGCTGTATTTGGTGCCTCGTTTTCTGCTCATATATCAGACGGACTACTAAGAATATATGATTTAGCCAAGGCCACTGGGAGCAAAATATAGAATTAATGGTGAAATATATTTCGTTTAATTTGTATTCTGGGACAAAAATTTCAGGAACAAAAACACACACACAAAAAACCAAAATATTAAATAAATAATAACTGTATGTAATAGTAGTAGTAGTAATAATAATAATCATAATAATAATAATAATAATACCTATTTGAACGAATACTTTTGTTCTAATAATCATTTATAGGAATAAAAGAAGTGTAAAGACAAAAAATACTGCAGGAAAAAAAAAGTGAAAATAACAACATATTTAATATTTTATTCCTTTATTTGTTTTACTATTTTATAGTGCAGAACAAAACTGAAGACAGTCTTTCAATTATCTAAATAAACAAACAGAAACAAAAAACTGAAAACATTTTCAAATATTTCAGAAGAAGCAGCTTTAATAATTCATCCACACTTCAATTGTCTGTCACAGAAAACCTAACAATGAACTAATTTTACAACAGAACTTAGGCAGAATTCACATTTAGTATAAAAAGTGTCTTCTAAATGGTGCAAGTAAACACTTCTCTGAAATATTAGTTAACATATTGTGGGCAGGCCTGGTCTGGGACTAAAATCATGGGTCATCTGTGGCAGGGTCCTTCCAGTTTCATCTTGCCTTTTTCCAGCACAGCTAATGCAACACTCAGCAGATCAAAGTGCACCTGTATCAGTTATATAACCACAGAAAGCCTACTCAGGCCACAGGTCACTTCTCTGCAGCCCTGGAACAGACAGGTAGAAATGTCATAATTTCATTGTGTAATATTGTGGCACAGTAAAAAACAATAAATGACGTAAACTTTGTAAAGTTTTACAAAAAATAAATGTTTGAAGTTGAGGTCATACCACACAACATATTAGACCATGTCAAAAACCTGAACCAAAATAGAGAAGCAGTGTGGGAATAACTTCACACAATGATTCATCTTTAGCAGCCATAAGTTTAAGTAATTATGATGTAATGAGAGACCTTGTCTGTTTCTCTCTTGTGGATGAACTCTTTTTTTTTTTAATCACAGGCCATTTGTTTATGTACAGCTCTCTTAATGCCTTGGCAGAGCAACAAGCCTCGACTTTGACTTTTTTTTTCTTTTTCAGGTATTGGGTTATATTTGCTGGTGTGCTCAGGATCACTGACATGTTCCATGACGTAGTTTTGGCAAAAATCCAGCTGCCAGACAAGCTTGGATCACACAGAGGAGTTCATGATCAGCTTATTTTTTCCTGACTGCAATGTCCCGGGGTGTCGAGTGACTGCAAAACAAACTGAACAAATCAGTCTTGCCTTCCATCACATGTTTAGCGGCAGGGTAGAGGTTACACACAATGGTGATGTTTGGTGTTGTCTGTCCAAAAGACATTGTTCCAAAATTCTTATGCTAAGCTAAGTTCTTCCACCTTTTAGAGAAAAAAATGGCTGCTCCTTGGTAACTCTTCCAACGAACGGATGGATGGTTGGAACAACAATCAACAAGTCTGCACTTAGCTCTTGAAGAAAAAAATCAATTTTGCCTCTGAACATCATCAAAGTGGATTTTAAACCAAAGCAAAGATGCGACTGAAGTCCCCCAAAATTTAAGAACTAAAAAATCTAAGATAAATTTAAATCTAAGGATTTAAAAAAATACTTGATAAGATCCTTTGCAGTCGAAACTGACAGTCTGAAGTCTAGAGCGCATGGACGTGGTCAGATGCTGTTCATACAACCTTGCTATGCTTTGCCAGGCTTTAGCTGCAGCTCAGTTTAGTTGCTGCTTGTTTGTTTGTCCCTCTGCCTTCAGTTTTGTCTTCAGTAACTAAACAGGATCCTCTATTAAATTGGGATCGGGTGACAATGTTATAATAGACTGTTTCTTTGCCTTGAGATATGTTTTGGTTTCATTTGCAGGATGCTTTTAATCCCTATCCATTTGTACTTCATCTAATCAGGGAGTATAGCCCTGTACAGTCTTGAAGCATATCCAATAATCCAGGTAAGGCATACTCAGAAAGCCGAATCTGTTTATTTGGACATAACATTTTCAGTGGAAGAAGCATTTCAACATTTTAACAGGAGTTGTCTCTGATACATGATGGTGTAGAGATTCAAACGTTTATTTAATGATTTTTTTACTCCTCCGATGGGAGGGTGGGTGGGTGCTATGATGTTACTGATGTTGAAGTTTATTTTGTTCATAAGGTTAATTATTAGAGTTGCCAACCGTCCCGTAAAAAACGGAATTGTCTCGTATTCAGAGAAAATATTACGCGTTTCGTATTGAGGTGAAAAGGAACACAGTTTGTCCTGGACTTCAGCTACAATGAAAAAGACACAAAGCTGGAGTTATTTTGTCTTTACGCTGCACAGCTGCCTCTTCTTCTCTCATTCTCTCCCCTCCCTCTCCTGTTGCAACTTCAATCATGAAACTGATCAATGAAACTGATCGGCTTTTCTGTCACAAGTCCAGTTGTTCTGGGAACCCATCCTACCCGTTGTTTCTGTGCATGGCACAACACGAAATTAAGTGCCAAACCATCCTACCTTTGTGAGTGTGACCTACAAGCATACTAACAGCTAAAATTTAGTGGCAAATCGTCCTACCTTTGTTAATAAGAGCTAGAAACTTACTTTGAAACTTTACTTTGAAAGTAACGAGTAACTCGAAGTAACTGAGTGTCTGAGTCAGAACCAGACACGGAGAAGCTGCATTCAGCTTTTATGCTCCTTATATCTGGAACAAACTCCCAGAAAGCCTCAGATCAACTGAAACACTCAGTTTATTTAAATCCAGGTTGAAGACTCACCTATTCTCAGCTGCATTTAAATAAAGCACCAGATTCAGGTTCAGAGGACAGCAGGGTGAACAGATGGATGGTGAAGAATGTCAGACCTGCGGAGGGTCAGCTGGTCAACTGTTCCGCTATGCCACCTGCAAATGTCTTTATTAAATCATAAGATTCTTAAATTCATCAAGTCTCTCTGTGCCTGGGTCCTCGTCACAAATCATGACATCACTGTTTTGTACATTTTAACACAATTTAATCCCACATTTGTGAAAGAAAAGCAAAACACTTGGTGTTTTTGTTACAGAAAAGTCTGTAACAAAACCATCAAATCTGATAAAGGTTATTTAAATGCTGCAAAAGAAGAATGGATTGGAATAAAAAAATACATATCCTAACCTTAATTACTGGGGGAGAATAATAAATGATGCTCATAGTGAGTAAGAAATAAATTGAGTGCATTTTTTGGACAGAGATTCACTTTTAATGTGTATGTATAATATAATACAGATACATTAAAAAAACACTCCCGAAACAGAATAAATTATTACAAATAAATTATTACAAAATATTAATAAAAACTATAAAAATGGAGGCAACTTTGCCTGTGGTAGAATGTATACAATGTATGAAAAAATCTTTACTGCAGACACTAATTTTACTAATTTAATAATACAAATTTTGTGTTGTAAGATTTATGAGTTTCATGCTTTCATAGTGGTACTTTGGAGAGCTTGACATTTTTATCAGGTGGTACACACTGTAAAAAGTTTGAGAAACACTGATAAGTGTATGTGTGATTAAGATTAAGGAACTGACCTCCCAGCCCATTGTTCCGTCAGTGGGCTGGTTTCAGTCATTATGCAAATGTAACTGTTTATAAGATTGGGGAAACCTGCAGTCAGCTGAGACTGAAGAAGTCACTTGGATGAGTGACGAAACGTTTCTCCCACAAAACGCTACGTCCAGATGAACAGAATCAACTTTTGGAGAAGTGTATGTGTGCTTTTGGAAAACATTTAAAGCTGCAGTACAGAATCTTTGAAACAAGCTTTAAACATTTTTAGAATATAAACAGAGCATCTGCTTCTCTTTACAGCTCCTCACTCCACCAGGGCTGTTTGGCTCTTTCTGATAGTGTGCAAATGTGATGCACGTATTGCGGCAGTCATACAGACAAGTGGACGGTCCAAAAGTTGGCCGACCTGTTACTGGCTGAGGTTTTAGTAGAGTTGTGGCTGAACCACATAAAAATATATCATTAATTTTAATCTCCCCAATCCATTATAATGTTATGTTGGAATGTTGTTAAAGAGGGTCAAAAATGTTTGAACCCAGTTTGTTTTGCAGATTCTGTATAGCAGCTTTAATATAGGGAGAACACAACTTCCAGATTGTATGAGTAAAATAAGTTTTTTTCTCTTTGTCAGTTTAACAGTTTTGTTTTGCCTGTCACTGTTCCCTGTCTGTTTTCTTACCTGGTTCTTCCTGACCTTGTACTTTCTCCTCACGTTCCCCTCTTTCCTCTCTCCCTCTTTGGACTGACAAGCATACATAAATAGATTGTATTCAATTAGATGAAAAATTACATCCATCCATCCATCCATGCATCTTCATCCGCTTTATCCGAGGCCGGGTCGTGGGGGCAGCAGCCTAAGCAAAGAGGCCCAGACCTCCCTCTCCCCAGCCACCTCCTCCAGCTTATCCGGGGGAACACCAAGGCGTTCCCAGGCCAGCCGAGAGATATAATCTCTCCAG